AGGAGGACAGTTGAAGAGGTAGGGACTCGACGAGTTGACGACCCAACTCGGCGAGTCGGGTCAATTGGAGATGCCAACTCTATCATGGCATGCAAATAAAAAGAGGGAGAATCCACCTGAGCATATTATGACTGGTTTACCCTCGTGACCTTAAGTGTTCCTAATCACGAGGAATTCCTAGTCACGGGCTCCTTCGCCTAGGGGCTACTCTCAGGCCCTTTATCGAGAAAAATTCAAGGAACAATACCAAAATCTAGGGACGAGCTCAAATATAGGGTCAAAAAATACCTCATGCTAATTGAGGGAAAAGAACGCAAACAAGCCAATCTAAAAGCTATATCGAATGCCTACCTCAAACAAGAATCAGTCGGCTCCCACTACCGCTATAGCCACAAGGAGCGCAACGAAGGAAGCCATGAAAAACACAACAAACACTTGAGACACTTATCTTGAAGATTCTGTCCGTTCGTCAAAGACGAGCCCATGAGCCATAAGATGGAAGTACACGTAGTAGAAAAAACCCTTAGCGGACGGAAAAAGAGAAAAACAAATACTGTGAATACCACAAGAGCAAAATCCACGACACTGGAGAGTGTGTGATCCTCAAAAGGGAAGTAGAAGACAAGTAATTGAGTGGATACTTAACGGAAATCGCAAAGACTTTACGATCAAAGTTCGAAATTGATCAGAAAGGCGGGAAAGCTTGGAAGGAAGCAAACAAGCAACCAATCAAAAACGAGGAAATCTTCACAATTGTAGGGCCCGAGCACAAAGTCGGACGTCGGGCGCTAGCCAACAGCGTCGACGGCTCACCCGAAGATACCCTCAACATAAGCTTCTCACTGAAAGACCCGCGAGCCCCCGACTGGGACCCCGTGGACCCAATCCTAATCCTCGCCCTCGTCCAACAACATCGGATATGACGAGTCCTGGTCGACGGAGGTAGCAGCATCGACGTCCTCTACGAGCACTGTTTCGAACGACTCCCACCATCCTGGAAGAGGAGCCTAAAGCCCCCAACCCGAGCCCCGCTCGTTGGCTTCACAGGGCCGAAATTATGGCCACTCAGGACCATAAACCTCCCATTGACACTACTCAACCACGATGGAAAGGAAAGGGTAACAAGGATAATCGAGTTCTCGGTAGTTAAACACAAGTCAGAAGACGATATGATCCTAGGGCGGCCTTCCCTCCTCCCTCTTCCAACTATAGGCTTTCTCATCAATAATACATGGTATAGTAAAGTTTAGAATAACCAATGACTTAGCAACAATAACAACTCTAAACTCACGAGCAAAACCACTCCAGGCGATCGCCGCTGAGGCTACCGCGCATATCCCAAGAAAGCGACAAACAACAATAGTCACCACCCACGCAGTCAAGCACAAAAAAGAAAATACCCACACACAAGGCAGGAGGAAAAGATGCCAACCTCAAATGAACAACCCCCGGGGGGGGGGGGGGGGGGCGATATCAACACTGTCATCACTCCTGAAACGTCGAGGATTATCACCACGAATGCCAAGCGAGGCTATGTAACATTGAGCATACCCACATGTCTTCGTGTAGCAAAGGCACAGAGCATGGACAAGGAGGAAACCAGGGAACACACGCGCGAAGTCATGGAGCTCGACCGGAAACACAACCACGGAACCGCCAGAGCCAGAACAGCAAGGATATGTAACTGCCCCAAAAACGAAGACGTGAACTGGAGACTCAGTATAACTGTAAGAGTCCACAACTGGCAGAGGCTCCCCCAAGACGGCATCTAGTTAATAACCTTGCAAAAAACAGAGCCAATAAAACGACATGTTCAACCATCAACCATATTTCTCAATCTTTCTCTCTTCTACACCACCACTACCATATTTCTCTTTCTCTACCTTTCTCACACTCTCACGCTCTCTTTCTACCATCTACCATATTTCTCGATCTTTCTCTCTTCTACACCACCACTAAAACGACATGTTCAACCATCTCCATCCACTATCTCGGTTTGATTTATATGACTTATGGGTTTAAATGGGTTTTGATATATGGGTGTGTGTTTTTAATTTATGGTTGTAGAGTTTGTGGATTATCCTTGGTATTTTTTATTCGTTGGAACACACCCATTCAAAGCCATCACCTAGAAAAAACCCATTGCAGCTTGAAAATCAAGATTTGATCAAGCGGGTAACTTCAATTCTATCAAACCCATCTATTGATTCGTTTAAATGTAAATATATAGTAACAAATTTATCTCCACAACATTTAGATTACCTTTGATTCAATTGATATGTGTATTTATAAACTGTAATTGATAGTTCGACAAAAAACTGAGGAAATGGTTGGTGTTTCCACATATTTGTGTTTATAAACAGAAGAAATTATTCTTTCATGTGAGTGGGAGAGAGGGAGAGGGAGAGGGAGGGAGGGAGAGAGAGGTGACCTCATATTTATTATTAATAAAACATTAAATTAAATGGTAAAAATATAAAAATGTATTAGAATAACACTTTAGTCTTTTCAGTTTTCTGAGGGACCATAACCACAAACAAACTAGCTTAAAATGACCACCAATCCAAAAAAGTTGTGGTTTAAACCAAATACAGAATACCATAGACACCATTTTTTACAGCTTTGTCTAATCTTAATTGCTTAAATTAAAGAGTAAATTACATGAAAAAGATAATTTTGAACTTGATTTTGTTGTGTATTTGGTCCCTATTAAACATAAAAAGACAATTTTTGTGACATCCCTAAAATCACGGCCAGAAAAGACCGGTTTCATTTATGCTTTTAAATAAAATCAGAGTAATCTTTTAAAGAAAACGGTTGTAGAATTTGTTCCCAAACAAGATATGATAAAACTTTATCAAAACATTTCTCAAAGAGAATGTACTTTTCATTAAATAATAAAATCTTGGGATGTCATGTTCCGATACACACCAAAAGCATAAACAGATTAAAATGGACCTTACAACAGTTATTTACAACTACTGGTCTATAATCCAGAATCTCTCGTCAAGTCAACCAACTTATGCTCTTGTGCCTTTACCTGTAATGCAAAGAAAACTGAGTGGGTCAGACTTGGGAGCCTGGTGAGCATATAGGGTTTTCAACTCATAATAATACAATTATTATATTCAATCATCAAACAATCAACCCAATTACCCATCCCCATTATCTTCTTTATTTCTTAAGGTTTTACCCTAAGAATCAATTATCCTTCATTCATTCATTCCTAAGGATTGACCTAAGGAATTGGCACAAAATCCATTGCTACATAAGGCGCATCTGTGACTTTATCCTTTAAGCCCCTCTGCCAGGATTACGACATTCACTATTAGGCGCATCTGCCAACATTATCCTT